AATAAGAGTATAAAACACACACCCACACCCACACACCAACACCCTAGGCCCATTCGTTCCTTCTATACTTGCAAAGCATCGTTGCCTTCACCATGCCTGTTTGTTGATTTACCTATTGTCTTTTGATTTGTATTTTAATATTTCTCCTCTGTTTTTAATTCCATCCAACCTTCCCCTTCCTTGCATCCCATATATTTTTTCCACATATATTTGTTTTCTGATTCCATTTTTGTCATCTATTTCAAGCTGCTCTCGCATCCATTGTGTCCAATTTCTATTTTTATTGTTGGAAGATTAATTTAATTATTAATTTGCATTCAACTGCATTCAAACTGTTTTCACTTCTTTATTTTCTTTTACTTATATAATTTCCCCCTACAACCACTTTTAACACTACCAAGTAATTCAGAATCTCTTATCACTTTTAAATCCTTCATTAATTCTCTTGAGTTTCATCATAACCAATCAAATCAATCATGTTCTTCAAATCATTTCTTCTCCATGTGTACTCATGAAGAGACATATGCTTACATCATACATTTGAAGCAAACATGCGTTTTTCTAAGCAGGTACCCAACACACTATCACTGTCCTTATTCATGGATTTTCAAATGGTTCAGTCAATCTGCAAACACTTGTCTTGACCTCCCATCCATTCATGTCACTCCCTGCCATAGCATTTATTTAAAAAGTTGCACATATTTCCCCAAAACTCATCTTTAGTTCTTCTACTACAATATGCAAATTTTCACCAACTTACACATTCTTATTTCATTCTGAATCCACAATATTTTAAAAAATATCTGTTCATGTTTTCTGACATATCAGTCATAATTATGTCACTCATAATTAAATGTCTACCTTATCTTATCTGTGTGCATTAATCAATTCCGGTCCATATGATCAGATTATCTTTCTTCAAAGCAATTACATCTCTTCTGATTCTCTTTGTTATACAGATAAAAATAGGTTCATTTCATTTGCACTCACTTTACTATTTACTTCTTTTACATTCCACATTACAATCTTCCATATGCCAGTTTTGCCAACAGATAAGCCCATACTTACCGACTTTGCCATTCATCATGATTTTGATCTATCATGATTTTTGAGTAACATATTTTAGATTAGGTTGAGTCATGATGCAGCCTGAAAACGTAACAGAGGAAGCATTCCCTGATAATAGTGAAGATAATGCCAGTGAATTGGGACATATTTTATTAGTATGCACCAGGTACAGCCCAAACAAAATTATTCCCAAGAATATTCCTGCTTTTCTACATATAAATTAGGATCTCTAACCTAGAAACTCCTTACAAACCTACAAGCTATTGCCATCATCAGCTAATACATTTGATATGGGTATGACCCATATCCTTTGTATTTTCAACATAGATCATCCCATGACCAGTAGGCTGTTTGAAAAGGATGCACATGCCTTAGCAATTCTCCTATGGGGCTCCCCAAATTGAGAACAAAATTATCCTGCATGATTTTAATTCTGTCTCTTTTGAACAAGAGAACAAATTGTAGGTTTTGCTTCTAAATTATTTTGCCTTTAAGTCTTTCCACTCTTCCAAGTTAAGATGTTTTTTCCCATGGTGTATCAGACTTTAGGTCTATCCTTGTGCCTGCCTAATCCAACAATCCACTTAATCAGACAGCCATCTTTTCCTTAGTGAAAAATAACCTTATTAGGAGACAGGTTAATTTAGAACAGAAGAAACAAAGCAAAACTCAGAAAATCTTCCTCAGCTACACTTCTGTAAAGTGAGACAGGAGAAATATGGTCTTTTTGAGCCAAAGAATAGATTCACAGGTTGTGGAAAGAGCAAAAAACCTCCCAATGAACAAGTCATAAAAGCAGAAATTGTGATTTAATTGAATTTATGCCATAACATTATATAGCCTCCCAGTTCTATGACACTTGTGCAAGAAGCCCTCAAGGCATATATAGTATCACTCCTGGTGATAGTCTATTCACTTATCTCCTTGTTCTGCCTAAGCTTATTTTTTTCAGCTAATTAGCAATTCTCCCCTAACTTGTACCAGTGTAGTAATGCTGGCTGATACTGCAGAATATTTTCAGTTCCTGGAAAAACTCTGCCTAATTAGGGGGAACACTGTACAATTATAAAAGGATAGGTCAATTTTTTATCTGATTTTCATTTTTCTGAAATGCACACTACCTTACCTTATTTGATTGGAAAAGTTTGCATTTAATCTTTCTAGAACAGAGTCTCAACAGAAGAGGTTGATGACATCAGATCTCATTAAACAATTCAACATTGGAACAGGATGGTCAAATAGGTTTGTGGTGGTGCAGGAGTTTTTCTGGAAAGGTGAGACTCTACACACTTTCTTTCTTCACACAAGTGGGACCAAATGGGAAAGACTGCAACCATGAATCTGTTAAGGCCAATCTCTTTAACACATTCTTCAGTTCAGTCTTTGTAAACAACAATAATTCATGCCCCACATTTCCTAATTGTGCCACAACTAACTGTAATGACCTACTATATATTGACTTTACAGAAGATAATGCAGAAAAGGCACTACGAAACATAAAACCATCCCTATCTATTGGCCCCGATGGATTATGTGCATACTTCTTTAAAAAGCTCTCCTCCGCCATAGCGGAACTCCTAAGCATTATATGTGAGATATCATTCAGAACCAGCTCCTTACCAAACCTATGGTCCTCAGCTACAGTCATCCCTACCTTCAAAAAAGGTGACCCCAGCCTGGTTGAAAACTACAGACCAATCTCACAGTGTTGTGTCATGTGCAAAGTCATGGAATCAATCATTAACCAATTCATCACTCTCCACTTAGAGTCAAACAACCTACTCTCCAAAAAACAATTTGGTTTCAGGAAAAAATTGTCCTGCAATCTACAACTCCTACACTGCAAAAACATATGGACTACTCTACTTGACCAGGGTAAAGCTATAGGTGCAATTTATGTAGACTTCTGCAAAGCCTTTGATTCAGTGGAACACGACAAACTACTGTTAAAACTAAACTCTTATGGCATTTCTGGATCTCTCCATAAGTGGATTACTGCATTCCTGTCAAACAGGCAACAAATAGTAAAAATAGGGAGCACTATATCAAACCCTGCTCCAGTTAACAGTGGTGTCCCCCAAGGCAGCGTTCTAGGACCTACACTCTTTATACTCTATATAAATAACCTTTACAATCACCTTATAAGCAACTGCATCCTCTTTGTGGATGACGTAAAACTATTCAACACCACTGACAATGCTACTATCCTTCAAAGCGACCTTGATTATGAATGGTCAAACATCTGGCAACTCCAAATCTCGACCAACAAATGCTCTGTCCTACACTTTGGTAAAAAAAAATCAGTACACTAAATACAAACTAGGTGGATATGACCTTGTTGATGATCCTCACTCTGTCAAGGACCTTAGAGTTCTCACATCAAATGACCTAAGTGCCAGAGCTCACTGTAACAGCATTGCCAAAAAGGCATTAAGAGTTGTAAATCTAATCTTACGAGCTTCTCCTTCGGAAATATCAAATTGGTAACTAGAATATACAAAACTTTTGCAAGACCAATACTTGAATACAGCTGATCAGTCTGGAGTCCACACTGCATATCAGACATTAATACAATCAAGCGAGTCCAGAAATATTTCACAAGAAGAGTATTTCACCTCTGCTTACAACAGAATACCCTATATCACCAGGCTTGAGATTTGGGGCTTGGACAACCTTGAACTACACCATGTACAGTTAGACTTAAGTGTAGCACACACAATTATCTGCTACAATGTCCTACCAGTCAATGACTATTTCAGTTTCAACCACAACAATACAAGAGCACACAACAGATACAAACTCAATGTAAACCGCATCAAACTTGATTGCAGAAAATACAACTTCAGCAACAAAGTGGTCAATGCCTGGAATGCACTACCTGACTCTGTTGTTACATCCTCTAACCTCCACTCCTTTAACCTCAAGCTAACCATTATTGACCTCACCCCATTCCTAAAAGGTCTGTAATGGGCATGCATAAGTGCACCATTGTGCCTACCATTCCTGTCCTATTGTCCCCATTTATTCGTGCCTGTTTCCTGTATTCTTACTCATGTTTATACTTATATCTATTACCTTGTAAGCGATTGACAATTCAGATAAATAAATAAAGTCAATACAAGGTTGGAAGATTAAAATTCAAAACACTACCACCACTTTCCTTCATGCCATTTGTTTACCCATTCTCTAGATGAGAAGCAGCTGCTGTGACTGCCTACAGCACACAAGGGCTATGTTCTCCCAACTACATCTTGGGGGACTGCCTTCACAGGACATGTTTTCTTGGTTAGTAGCAGCTCTCCCTCCTCCTCCTCCTCCTTTCTCTCCTCTTCTCTCTTTCTGTGTTGCATCAACCCATCCAGTTAATTCAGTGTGTGATTTAATGCTTTGTGTAAATCTAGACAATGATGGGTCAGTTCAGTAACTACTTTGAGCAAATGTTATGACCTTAGCCAGAACTTTTGAGCAGACAGGCTGTTTCATAAAGGAAGAGAGCTTAGCTGTTTGGGTGGTATACCTATGTTTTTCCCAGTTGGGACCAGCCAAAATCTAGCTAAGGATAATCAAGCCAAAATGTGCTGCACTCAGACAACTGGTAGGTAACTTGTTTTATTTCTTCTGCCAGCCCCTTTCTTTAACAAATATTATGTCTTAGAAAACAACCTTATTTTCACATAGGAAACAGGTCAATGTCTATCTGGAAAATATACCCTCCCAATCCATTTGTATTTGACAAGCATACTGGAATGGCAAAAATCTAAAAATAAAATCAAGTGACTTAGAATTAATACTGAGACTCAGAGTTAACCTTTGGGAGAGTACTGTGATTATTGTATTATTTGCTACGTAAATTCAATGCTCCTGATAAGCTAATTATAAACTGAAAGAGGAAAAACACCTGCAGGAAGGGGAGGCTAGGTATGTTTAAACACAGCTCCCTTAGTAACCAGTCTGACAACTTTCTTCCTGCTGATTTTTCTATTGACCAGTGAGACCTTGCTATGAATCCAGGGGGCAACAGTGCTGTCTCCCCACAAGTCTACCTCATTCAGCAACCAGTAAGTCACTGTGGTGGGTGGGTATATTGAAAGGTATCTCACTCTGAGCAGCAGAGAGAAGGATCCTCTGTAATCCTGCATGTCTTCTTAATTCAGTTCCAGCCAAGACAAGTTCTGAGTGGTCACCAAATTCTGTGTGTTCTGTAGGATAGACTAGGATAGACCATAATGGAAAGGACAATGTATGTCATGTGCTATAACTAATTGTAACACCCCTCCTGAGTCCCAAATGGAGAAAAGAAAATGAAAATATAGCAAAAATTATTGTGTCATCTAAAAGTCTAGCATATTTATTAATGCATAAAATTTAATATATCTCTATCCACTCCCTCAGAGGGAGGGAAAATAGTCAGAGAGAGCAGTTTTATATAATGTAGCTGTCGATACTGGAGGAGTTAGGTATAATATCCCTGCTTTAATTAAGCTGATGAAGTAAATAGATATATTAAAGCTAATGAGATAATAAGTGAATCAAATCACACAGATCTCTTTTGCAATTGCAGTGAAAAACTAACCTGGCCACCTTTCTGGCAATTGAAAATGGTGATAGAAAAACCCTGTGTAGACTTATGCCCACAGAACATACCAATAGATTGCAAATAGTCATGCCATGCCCAATTGCCCTTAGAAATTTTTCTCTGACAAGTAGCTTTGTTTAACATCTTCACCTGGCAGCAATCCTGAGAGGCATCCGAAACACACATATCCCTCCCATCATCTACTCAGGAAGAAACATGATTTCTTTTTTCTGCCATATCATGACAATGTTGCCTTCATCTGTAGCCCAAATCTGAGAGGCCTTCAAGTTGTCCTTAGCTGTATTAATGTTGAGGTAAATTTCTAATACATTTTTTAAAAATTGTAAATATATTTGGACATCTCTCACCAATCATTCCATTAGCACCTCCCAGGCCAGGGACTGGCTCAGCATCCACTGCCCACTTTGGGATGGCTCAGGCCTGCCTCATTCTTTCTTTTCCATGGGCACTTCCACATTTTCCAGAGCTCTTCAGCTGTGAGCTATAGGAGAGCCTGTAGTAGTTATTCCAAATGATACTCCCCCATTGAACTTACTAGGTCTTCCAGTCTTGGAAAGAGGAATTGACATAATGAATAAATGATGGGGATGAAGGGAAGGCCTCTGCAATGAAATCAGAGGAGCACTTCTACTACTCTGTCAGCTGTTAGGTGGGCTATTTTTAATTATGGGCTAAGTGTTCTTTCTCTAAATCACCAAAATTGTGTTTTAAAATGTTTAAAAATTACTAGTCCAATTGCTGACAAGCACAGGAAAGGAGTTGTGCAATGCCACAGGAGAAGGAATCATGCTTTATGGTACAACACCATCTTTCATCAGCTTCTAGGTGAAGTGAAAGAGCACTAAATCAGGTTTAAAGATAGCTTGACAGGCATGCTGTGGATTGTCTGATGAAGCAGGAGCCTCCCTTCTGCTAAAGTATGCAATTTCCTCCTGAATGCTGTACATCACAGAGGGAAGTTGTGTGGTGCAGTAGGAGGAGACTTCTACCAAATTGTCCAATTGACGGGGTTCCTGCAATGCAGCAGGAATTCTGTAATTCAGTTTAGAAATAAGAACCAAAATCTGGAGTCTCTGGCTCAAATTCAAGAAGGTATCTTGAGCAGAGGGAAACAGCTGAATGACTGAAGATCAGAAAAGGGCAGTGTAGCTAAAGGGGCAAATTCAGAGGGGGGATGTGGAAATGCAAACATTGTTTACCCATTTGTAGTCTCAATTTTATTAAACTATTTAAATGTTAATTTTATTCATTACTATGTTGATGAATTTAATTAGTCAATCTGGTTATGCAAATGTTGTTCAGTTGTTCTTTAAATCAGTGTTTAACTTAAACTGTTGTTCTGATTTTCGTGAATTTGTCCTACATGCTGACTTGAAAGACAGGGAGAACAAGGGATGGCATCAGTAGGCATTAGAGCAGGTTGTTCTGGGAATCTTGGAGAAAATCTAGTTTTAGAGGCTTATAGCAAATGGGCCCTCCATGGAATCCTTAAATCCCACAAGGTTTAGTTTTGCCCATGATCAGAAATCTGAATAAAGCTTCTCTTTAAGGAGATGGTGAAAGGTATGACAGCATCATTGTAAAGAATGATCCTGAAAAGTCATCCTGGTGTAAGAGAGAGCAAAGGACCATTCTGATGTAGCAAAAGATTCCTAGGAGATTCACAGTATGTAGACCAACATTGCTGTTTGCAATTATTTAACCATCAGAAGAATTTGGATCCCATCCATTCAAAATTACATTCACTGGGAGGAAATAAGCCAGGGATGCCTAGCTGTGCATTTAGCTTAAGTTTTAAACTAGCTCAATCAGATGTATAACTTCTGTATAAAACAACAATAATGACAGAAGCTTATCCAGGGAAAAAGTGGCAAGAGTCGGGTCCCCACAACAGTCTTCTCTGAATTTCCTTCCATTGTTTCTCAGATTACTCAAGAGCCAGAACTGACCATTCTCCATCAGATGCCATGGATACTTCCTCAGTCCAGCTGCACAAGCTACATTAGAGAAAGTAAGAAATCAGGACTACAAATTTGCTAGAGCACTGAGATTGGTGGAAGGAAGAGATCCTAAAAGAAAAAGCTGATTATCTTGGAACATATCTATGTGTTACTATTCAAATTGAATTTAATGTATTAAAATGCCACAATTTTTAAACATTAAGCTCTATAACAAGTGTGCACAGCTTCTCCTTTGCTGAAAATCAAACTTGGCCTTTGAACATATGGAAGTGCAATGTTAAAACTAATTTTGATTTCATTTCACTTGTATTTAATTAAAACTAAATATAGTTAATATGTTTTTGCAGTGAAGTATTTAGAAAGTTTTCCTTTCTCTCGTGAACATTGGAATCTGAAAATACTGATAGCTTGTGAGACTGTGTGTGATGCTATAAGTTCAGGTTGTGCACCTTTGCTCTAATGGTTCTGTAATTCCTTCTTTCATATTAGATATTGCTGTTTGTTTATATGTATAAATAAATCAATGCATATTGATTGTATTCTTAATTTCTGGAAGATTTAATAGAGCTAATGATGATACAAAATGCCCAGATGCATCAAGTGATAATGAACAATTTGGCTATGTCAGCAGCAGCATGTTTTGAACACAACCCAAGCCAGGTAGGTAGATCATTGATCTAGGATGAATTTTACATACGACAGAAGAGTTGATACAGAAAAAACAGGGTGGGAAGGCATTTCTGTGCCAACTGTCTTGCCTTCTACTGGCTTCAACTGATGGGCAGGAGAGCAGAAAAACATGTGCCTTGGTCATAAATATCAGAAGCCATCATGGAATAGATTGGCATTTTTCAGTGACAACATTATAGGTTCCATCCTTAAATCTAAGTCTGTTGTGAGAATGAATGTGCCTAGTTTTGTTACAAAGAGATATATCTGATGCATAATAATTTTGTTGTTCTGAAATTAATTGGCTATCTAGCACAGGGGTGTCAAACTCAAGGCCCATGGGCCAGATTCAGCCCATGGAGTGATTAGATTAGGGCCACCTGAAAACAGTGAAGAACTGAAGTGCCTCTGACAGTGAAAATGGAGCTTGGGAGGGCCGTGTGCAGAGGCCCTTTTTGCCGGCAGAGGGCTGCAGGAAACCATCACAGCCAAACCTGAGCCCAGGGGGCCACATCCCCCCCCCAGCTCCATTTTCACTGGCAGAGTGTTAGCAAAACAAACTACTAGCAAAGGTGGATCCCCCAGCCCCACCTGGGCCACCACAAGTGCCCTTGACATGAGTGATATCAAGCTGTCCATACCCACCATTGCCAAGCCCACCTGAATACACACCCCGACCTCCACAAGGTAAAACACAGCTGTGATGTAGCTTTCAATGAAATTGAATATGACACTCCTGGCCTAGCATGTGAAATGTAGCTACTAATGAATATAAGCAAGAACAGATATATTTGAAGCAATGACATATCATCTGAAATATATTTAAAGTCCATAAAATACTGAATGACACAGCATGTATAACTGGATGTGAGAATGACTTTGAGGAACAGTAAGAAGAGTTGCAGCCAAGACAAAGTCAGATAAAACAAATCTGACTCCAATGCAGAAATAGAATTTGAAAAACTATTTCAGGTATGACCATCCACAATTCTCTTAAGATAAAGAAAGAGGGAAGAGAAATACATTTTGATTGCAAGATTCTGTTACTGTAACTTATAATAAAATTAATTTTAGTACTCATGACTTCAAGATCTAACTTCAACAGCTGACTGCTTCCAAGCCCTGACTTGACATCCATGTCTTTCTACGCATGAGAAATAAAGGAATGTGATGCACCAAGTCAGTTCTTAGAAGTTTTCAACTTTTTCTGATCTGGATCCAAAATTTATCTGGGGCTAACTTCATGATCCATAATTATGATTATTATGCATAATAAATTATTATTTTCACAACTCACCTTTTCAATGTCTCTTTTACCTACTGCAGACGTTCTGCCTAAAACAGTCACAACAGCAATATTAATAGACTTGAACATAAACAGATTTCTAAGTCAAGGCCATTATGAGTTATAGGAAGGAGAGAGGTACAATACTGAGAATTGGAAAGGGCTGGAGAAGGTGGCCAGAGAAAGACAGTCAGAAGTAATAGTTTGCTAGCCTATCAAAGTAGAAGTAGGTTTTTACTATTCCTTAAAGGTTGAATCATCTCACTTCAGTATATTGCTCACCTCATGCTGTTGCAACAGGAAATACCAATTTATTAAAAGGACTATTTGAAGGCAGCCACAGGTAAAACCATTTGGGGTTTATGATCCTTGAGATAAGGAACACTGCCTTAAGTGTCCTAATCTTTCTTTCTAGCAGATATCCCTTACCCCCTGGCAGACAGAGCAGGAAGATGAGATTGAGATGGTATTCCACCACCATTATGCACCATATCCAAGCACCCTTCCATTCAGAACATGGAAACCTCCATCTCAGTCTTCAGATTTGACACAGCAGCAGCCTATCATTCACCATGTGGGCCCAGATCAGTCAATGAGGAGACACGATGATGGGTGAGCAAAACTGTGCAGATGGGAAAAAGAATATAACCAATCAAATGAAATGTTTCATTTCAGTACTCTATTATATATTGCCATAATTCATCCAAATGTTGCATATAAAACATGTAAGGATAAGGCAAGTGGTAAAATGGTAATATTCATCACAAAAAGTGCAAGTTAAGATGTACCTGGACTTGGGACCTTCTTTAGATTATGATAAGCCAAGTGAAGCATACTTGCATTGTTTAGGGATTCGAACCACCAACTGCTGACCTTTCTGATCGACAAACTCAGCGTCTTAGCCACTGTGTCCCATTATATTTAGAAAGAACTAAAAATCCAGCAATATTAGGAGCCTTTATTTGGCTCCTAGTATTTTATTAGACATTTCAAAGACAAGATTGGATGAAATTTCTGCTAATTTAATAAAAGGGAAGAAACTGGCTTTCAACAAAAAAGTTGAGGACCTTGAAATTAGTATTTTCTAAAATAAGCAGAACTATCAGTGTAAGATAGTTCCCATGGGTATTGAGAATTAGCCACAAATATTTCCCACCATCTTGCCTGCTGTACTATTAATATCCCATTTTAATTTATATTTATCTAGTCAAGCAGTACCCCCACCCCCACCACCAAGTGCCACTGGAACAGTCACAGCCGATGTACTACCAGCTTCAGGTAAGGTTGGAGTGGATGGACCACAAATTCATTTCATTATTCCCATCATATCTTTCTGATACAGGCAGAGTTATAGAGTCTTTTTGCCCTGGTAATTTCAGCACTGGCTTAATGTCACTTTGGCCATTTAATACAAAGTCTCAATCTTAGCAGCTTGAAGATGTAACTACACTGATCTAGATGAATGTAAACTAGAAAAGTCAAATCAAGCCTAATCAGAGGAAACTGTAATATTTCAGTTTGTATCACAAATTGGCGACTGTTTTAGGCAGTAAACAACTTTACAGTCACAAGGCTGTAACTATTTTTTTACAATAACCATTATTTTTTAAAGTATTAGCAATTTAAAAGTATTAGCAATTTCACCAGCAATTTCTATACATTTCCTGTAAAATCTTGCAAGATTGCCACTGAAAGCACAGAGATTTTATGATAGTTAGTAATCTTGCATGATTTGCCATTATTCAACAAAGTTTTTATTATCATGTTTGATTGCGGGAGATCAGAGTGGCATGTAGGACTGTTGTAAATTCTCTCAGGTTCTTGATGTTGCATTGCCAACATTGACTAAATAATACTTGAATTTATTTAAAATATATTTTTATAGATGTGAAAGAACTATGTTCTTACTAGGAAAAGGAGATGGGGGATAAGAGGAAAGCAAAGAGAAGCATGAGGCCAGTGGCAGTGTAAGCACCTTTCCTTTGCTAGAAATCCTGTCACGATAATCTGTTCAATTTTCTCCTTCCAGAATACTATGACTACACTGAGCAATGGAAGTGAAATTAAAGTTTCATCCGTTCTTCATTTCCAAAAAGATGCAGGTTCCTAGTTGCCAGAGGCCTAAAAAGCTCTTCTGAATTTCACTCTAGCCAACCGGGAGTATGACAGGACAAACTTTGACTGATACTGGTTTCCTTAGGATCAAAGCCTAAGATCAAAGGCAATATGTTTATATTTGTGCACATTTTTCAAAGTTTGAAATAAATTGTACATTATATTATACAAGTTATACATAATGCCTCTATGGACAAGTGCTGCTTCCATTTTCTACAAAGCAGCTACACTTTAATATTTTGTCTAGGTTTGCCAGGCCCTCTTCCAAGAAGTATATATCTTTTTATTATCATTACAAATTCTTGAGCACCAGAAGATTAAGTGTATAGTAATACTTCTTCACTTTTTCGGCTTTGGGCTGGCACCTGTTAACGTCATCTCAGTTTGTTTGTTTGTTTGTTTGTTTGTTTAAGCTGAGCATCAGAGCAGCCTGTGTCCTTCTTCAATAGATATTCCTCAATTCTTCTTCACTTCAAGATATTCAAGTGGTATCAACAGCATTTTTAGCCATATTAATTCAAGTTTTATTTCTCCTAATTCAGAATTTTTCATTAATAGGTTCTGCATATAAACTGGGTAGATATCACAAATTTTGTTCCAGAATTCTCCAGGAACACTATTCATCACATCTATTTTAATAAATCTGTTGTTTATCCTGATTTGTTTATCCTGTTTGCCTGTTGTTTATCCTGACTCATACAGAATATTGAGAAAGCTCAACTGGACTCATTTTACCTTTCACAAATCTTTCCCCTTCTCTCTTAATTTTGAAGAAAGGGCTAATATGTGACCCTAGCTCCACAATGGACTTCTCTATTAATATTTGCCCCAAGTGGACTGCAGACCACAAGCAACGTATATGGGAGCATTCACAGGAAGGGAAAATTGGGCTAAGAAATGTGCATAGATCTTGCTTCTCAAGGGTGACTATTTTTTCTTCCAAATAAAAATAGCTGGTGCTTTTAAAATAATTTTTTACACTTGTGTATTGCTTTTATTAGCATACTTCCTGAGCTTGTTTTATTTACTTGATTGACATAGTGCTTTTTTGAGACCCTTGTGCCTTCTTTGCAAATAGTTTTTTGATTTATTCTATTAAATATTTCCTTGGTTAATTCTATTACTGAATTAAGATTTTATAATGTAATTATTTAATCATTATTTAATTATAAAAATGAAGGAAAATAATTATGAAATCATAATACAGTCATTGCATCTTTTCAAGCTTAATAGTTCCCTCTTTCCTCATGGTTTTTTTCTTTTCTTTCATTTGAAGGAGGCTGCCTTATATGAATTTTTCCAAAATGAATGTCCTCCAGTTATGCATCATCTTGTATTTCCTAATATATATTCATTTCATGTATTCATAACTATGTTTATCCTTATACCTATTTCTTGTAAGCGATTGACAAATCAAATCAAATAAAAAATAAAATAAAATAAAAAATAAAATAAATCTTAGCCATGATTGACAAATCAAATCAAATAAAAATAAAATAAAATAAAAAATAAAATAAATCTTAGCCATCATCCATATGCTATTTGAGGTGAACAGCCCACTTTGAATATTTTGAATAATTCTGAGATACTAATCAATAATCTAGAAGGTCCTTCATCGTGCTCAAATTTCACCTAAAGCTCAAGAATCCAAATCCCTCTCCAAGCCATCGCTTCACCATGAATATGCAGTTACAGGCTCGTAGAACTAATTGGTAGAGCTCAGCCAGGCAATAAAATGAAATAATTCTACAGCTTTTGCTGAAAAGCTACTACTGCCTGAGGCCCTGAAGTATAGACATAATATTTTTGCTTAGCACTGTGCCCAAACTTCTGAGTTGATTAGATCACTGCTTGCCTGACATAGCATTCTAGGCCCTGGTGTTTCCTCTTGAGGTAGCCACGTTTATCTCACAACTAAAAAAATGACAAAGCAGCCTGAAACAGTCTAATCATACAAAAAGGCTAAAGGCTAAATGGGAGCCCCAATCTTGATAGCTTTATTTCTGTATAGAGAGTATTTTTACTAGATCTCTGAAGACTGGAACAAACTCATCATTATTTCAATCTGCAGAAAAGAAGATAAGAATCCTCCAATTTCTTCTGCCTCTATTAAGTGTAATTAGCAAGGTTATGTCAGGCACTTCCATGGAAAACCCATAAACTGGTTGGTGCAACACAACATCCTGGAAGAAAAAGAAGCCAGTTTCAGGGAGGAGCAATTACAGCTCAGTCAATGTCTTAGTTTTCATCTTCTACAGAAAAATATGTTGTTCATCCATGCATGATTCTCCATTGTCTTCACTGATTCAAAGGCAGCTTCTGGCTCCCTATACTTCATGGAGAAAAAGAATGCTGCTTCTATTGACTGGTACCCTTTGAAAACTATATAATACTTTATGAGTTTGCTCTGAGGCTTCAAGTCACCTCTCATTAATAAACCACATTCACAAAATGTGAGAAAAGTTTGCATTCTGATGCTCTCCCCCTTTTCTATTTTTTATATTAATTTGTTGGTTAAATCCTGAGTTTCCTTCCCCCTCCCAGGTTACTGACTGGCTAAATAACTGACATCTTTCCATCCTTCTATATGTAAATGTTGTAGCAGTCCTTTCTTAAATACCAGTGAGCCTGAGATAAACTCTTGGAGGTCTTGCTTCTTATTCCAGCAAGGAGCAACAGGTTATCTATTACAATAAAACCAGTGGTGGGATGCTGCCAGTTTAACAACCAGATCAGTGAGTGCACGCACACCTAAGACGCTTGCACGCAGCACTGAAAATGGAGCATTTAGAATAGGCTTGTCCAACCCGCGGCCCAGGGGCCGCATGTGGCCCAGGTCGCCTCATAATGCGGCCCAGTGCCCACCCCAACCTTCATGCCAGAGCCAGCAAGGAGGAGGAGGTGAGGCAGGCGCAAGGCGGGGCGAGGCGAGTGCCAGGCCAAGCAGCAAGAGAAAAGGCGGGTGCCGTCAGAGTGCCACCTCCTGCTGTTGCCGCCGCCGGCACCGCCGCCGCTTCTGCCCCCGCCGCTGCCGCTTCTGCCCCCACCGCTGCCGCCCCCACCGCTGCCACTTCTTCCCCCGCCGCTTCTGCCCCCACCGCTTCTTCCCCCGCCACTGCCACCGCTTCTGCCCCCGCCGCCACTTCCTCCCCCGCCACCACTGCTGCTTCTGCCCCTGCCGCTGCTTCTGCCCCCGCCGCTTCTTCCCCCGCTGCTGCCACCACTTCTGCCTCCTCCGCCGCTTCTGCCCCTGCTGCCGCTTCTGCCCCTGCCGCTGCTTCTGCCCCTGCCGCTGCTTCTGCCCTGCCACCGCTGCTGCTTCTGCCCCCGCCGCTGCTTCTGCCCCCACCGCATCTTCCCCCGCCGCTGCCGCCGCTTCTGACCCCACCGCCGCTTCCTCCCCCGCCACCACTGCTGCTTCTGCCCCTGCCACCGCCCCCGCCGCTGCTTTTCCCCCCGCCACCGCCGCTGCTTCTTCCCCCGCCACTGCTGCTGCTTCTGCCCCCGCCGCCGCTGCCCCCGCAGTGGGGGCAGAAGCAGTGGCGGGGGTGGGGGAAGAAGCAACAGCGGCAGCGATGGGGGCAGAAGCGGCGGCAGGGGCGGGGGAAGAAGCGGCGGCGGTGGCGGTGGGGGAAGAAGCGGCGGCGGCAGCGGGGGAAGAAGTGGCGGGGTGGTGGCGGGGGCAGAAGCAGCAGCGGTGGCAGGGGAAGAAGCGGCGGTGGGGGAAGAAGCGGTGGGGGTAGAAGCAGCAGCAGGAGTGGGGGCACAAGTGGCAGCGGCGATGGGGGAAGAAGCGGAGGGGGCAGAAGCGGCGGCAGGGGCAGCGGTGACGGGGGCAGAAGCAGTAGCAGCAGTGGGGGCAGAAGCGGCAGCGGTGGCGGGGGAAGGCTTCTGCCCCCGCCGCTGCTGCTGCTGCTTCTGCCTTCCAGTCCTGCCTCATCCAGCCAGGCCATTTGCAGGAGGAGAGGTAGGCATGAGGCGGGCAAGCTTTTTCCCCCCCACTCCCCCCCCCCACAAAATTTGGCCAGAATATAAACTGTGATAAAAAAACTGTGATAAAAAAACGTGATAAAAATAAATAATTTTTAATAAATAATAAATAATAAAAACATCTCACTAATTTCATTTCCAAATAAATTTAATATGTTAACTATGTTTTCTATGGTTTTGGGGGATGATCAGGTATCGTTACTGTTATTTTATTTTATGTGCGGCCCAAACCAAATTTTCATCTTCTAATGTGGCCCAGGGAAGGTGAAAGTTTGGACACCCCTGATTTAGAAGCTCAGCTGCTTATCTTCCAAGTCAGCAATGGTAGGTAGAACAGCGGGTGGGGGAATAAGCTGTGCTGCGTGATTGACATGAGCTATAAAGCAAGAAATAAAGGACAGGATAGAGCGGTGTGTGTGGGCGGGGACAAGTGATTGTTGGAACTACCAGTTTGCGTGAACCAGTCTGAACCGGCAGAATCCCACCACTGAATAAAATTAAAGTAGTCATGTTTTGTAATGGACTTTTCCTCATTCTAGGAAAATGTTGTTAGCATTAATCAAAATAAAGTCTTTAAATATTGGGTTATATTTTTCCAAGCCTTAGTGACTTAAAAAATCAGCAATAGTAGATCACCTAGAGCCCATAAATCTTAAAACACAGTTCAGCCCTTTGCTAATTGCAGTGGCAATAACTATATACCAGCTGCCATACCTTTAAAAAACCCTTTTATTAGCTATTTTTATATGATGCGCAGGCTTGTTCTTTAAGCTGAACATGACTACTTTACTCTAATTTTTTAGAGCTTTATTGCAAGTGCTTCCTGCATATTAAATTCCTGACTGACCTAATTCCTGGGGTGACCTATATGCTTTGGTGGTTAGAATATTGGTTTAAATGACTTTAAATGGATACTTAGCCCACCTTAAGCTTACAGTTAATCGTATATCTCCATGGAAGTTAGGCTTTCTCATGTCTTTAAAATATTATTAGTTATCAGCCTAGTAGTGACTTTATTTGGTTCTGAGAAAAATCTAGTCTGCTCAGCAACCAAGAGCCCTCAGAATTAAAATTCAGCAAACTTTGAAAATGTGAATATGTACCTGAGACACTCCTGACTCTGATGACTACACAGAAAAGTTCATGGAGTTTTCTTGGCAGCATTTTCAGACATGTCTTGCCAATGACTTCTTCCTAAGCTGAGAAAAGACTGACTCAAAGTCACTATACTGGCTTCATATTTCTAATATAGTAGTGGAACTTAAGATTCTTCCAGTTTTTTCTTCAATGTCTTTACTCACACATCAAACTGGCTTAGCCCAATTCTAGCAAAATCCTGTTCTCATTAAGAGTGGGTTTTTTCAGGAGGTTATTCTCTATTACTAAATACTTAATAAACATTATTTGCCAGTTCCACAGAATAGCTTTCATTCTATCCCAGTGTTTCACACTCACAGACACATTCAGATTTGTGACTTTCTTATGTCCTTCTTTTTAATTGAAACGTTTACAAAGAAGATAAAAACTAAGACAACATAATAAGGAGTAAAAGCAGCAAAGGAAGTAAGAAGAAATAAAAAAATGAAA